AAGAGGCTTTTCAAGAGTGATCTGGGCGAAAATTCAAGGCTGCTGTTGGCTTCGGAATTGGTGGAGTCTCACATTTTGCCGCACTGGGACGCCGATCGAAGAGCACAGATTCACAATGGGTTGCAGGTTTCGGTTTACGACTGTGATACAAACAGTGAACAAGCAATGGTTTTCAAGCGATGGAGGAACGGGGCCTACGTGTTCATCAAGAAGTGGATTCAGAACTTTGTGAGCAGGAGAGATCTAAAGCTGAACGACGAAATCGGACTGTACTGGGATACCAACAACTCAAGGTTCAACTTCTCTGTTCTTAACCGAGCCACAAGAGATTGAGTTTTTCCCTCAAACATTCTTTCCTCTCTTTTATGGTGATCAAATGGTTCGGCTGTGTAACAAGCACTGTCTTCGTTGAAATTTAATTGGTATTAAATTTTGTTAAACTTCTAATTTCTAGACTGAATTTACTCATTCATATTTAAGTTTACATATTGAATGATTGATAATGAAATACATCTAACAATATCTTTGAATTATGTAAATAAAAGTCATTGATTTTATTTAAAAAAATTAATATTATAATGAAGGTTTACGATTATAAGCGTAAACTAAACCTATAATTAAGATATTTCCTATAATCATTTGAAGTAATAAAATAGTCACCTAAGATCTTTCAAGGACAGTGTAAAAATGTTAAACAAATCATTCAAAAAACTCGAACAAAACATAGATGCGAATATGTATGATTGCATTGAAAAACGAAACACTACAGAGGATCAAACTACTTAAAGACCACCGTAGTCGCAAATCAGATTCGAGTGTCGTGATAAAACTATTTATGCACACAAATTGCATATCCAAATTTAATCTGATGATCCAAAGTAGGGCAAATCAACATAATAACAAATAAGTGTCATCTTGGTAACTCGATATGACGTTAAATATAGTCCTAAGAAAATTAAATGATGAGAACAACCAAATGACCGATAAAAAAGGTTGAAATCATGTCAAAAGGCATGCAAAAATACACCATAAAGATAAAAAAAAAGCGTGTTAAAAAAACAAAGTTATTAAAAATTAAAAAAAATAAAGAAAAATCAAATATACAATATAAAATTAAAAAAAATATATATATACTGACAATCGACAATCAACCTCAAAACTTATATCAATGTCATCATAAAAATAAATAAAATGATAAGCGGCCCAAATAAATTGAAAACTAGGACAAAAGGAAAGGCCTTGAACAAAGGACCTACCTATAGAATAACAATATCTTTTATAAGTATAATAAAACCTCTATAAATTAATAATGTCAGAATCATATAATTTTATTAGTTTAAAGAGGTATTGACTAATTGAATGATATTTATGTACAATGTGACGATGATTAATGATATTAGATACTGTAACAAAATTGATGTCAATCACTTATTAAATTACCCGAATGAAAATGATACATGTTCAGAGGTCTAAAGTTTAGAATAAATTGTAGTTAGTTTAGTTGAAAATCCTATTGAGGATGAAACTGAAGATGATACAAATATCTGTACAATCCATTACGCTGAAGGAATGACTCATAGCAATAACTTTTCACAAATTTTTGTTGTAGTATTAGAACATAACACCATAACTTTTAGACGCAGTAAGGAAAGTTAGAGATTAAATATAACTAGATTTAAGTTTTAAGAAGAAGCAAACAATAATATAATCATATTTTACTAAGTTGACCTAGTTATATTTATAATTTTATAGAATTCTTAATTTATCTTCTAGGAGACTATTTTCTTATTAATTTATCGAAATTATTAATTTAGACCTTAGGTCCAAGTCTGGACCAAGAAAAATTATTATTTTAGAGAAGTTATTAATTTGTTAAATATTAATCATAGAGATTTTACTGTATAAATGTTCAAAATAATTATCAAGATTAAGTGCTAAAGAATTGACATAAAAAATAAACTCATCCAACATGGTTCATGTTGCAAAAGTAGTAACTTGGTAAGTTTCTTTTATAGCCAAGTACTTTTTGTTGTGCAGTTTAAAATTTTATTTAAGATATTAATATCATTTTTTTAATTAATCATTGGTATATGATTTATTGACCGACTAATCCAGATTGGGTACTGCAGCGGCGAGGGCGACCCTCCCAACCCAGTTTGCTCTATTCGCAAACACCAGGATTTGAACCCCTGACCTTGCTTAAGGGACCTAGTGCCTCATTCCACTAGACCAAAAGAAATTGAAAGAACGAGAAATCTCATCTTAAAGAAATTAAACCCTTGATATTGCTTAAGGAACCTATTATCTCATTGATAGAACGAGAAATCTCATCTTAAAGAAAAAAGAGATCAAAAGAAAAAGAAATTGAAAAGCGTTGACAAATAAGTGATTTTAAAGTTGTTAATGAAAAAGAAAAAAGGTCGAAGAAAAAAAAAAGAAAAAATAGAAGTTCCTTCTAATAAGAGTAAAGTTTAATTACGCGCAATTATATATATACAATTTTCACAAACTATTAATTTTTTTTATCAAATAACATCATTTTATATTTGTATATTATATACATAAATAAATATTTTATATCAGATTTAAAAAAATAGATTGATTGTATTTATTTTTTGAAATGTTATATTGAATCAAAACTAAAACTTAATGCACGTAATTTTATTAAAATTAAAATTTCATATGAATAATTTTCCAAATTAAAGTTTATGTATTATATTATATAGTTAAGCCAAGCACATGATTTTAATAGGACAAAGTACACTAGAGGTCTCTACATTATAACGAAGTTATCATTTGGTTACCTAAATTTTTAAAATTATAAAATAATCTATTAAATTCATAAAAATATTATAAAATGATCATTGCGAGGCTACTCACCGTTACAAATAGTAACTAAATTTATCAATTTTTTTATAAAATAATTATTAAACTTTATCATATTATTATAAAATTGTTATGGAATTTATCAAACATTATTATAAAATATTTGTGACTATCATTATGTGATGAGAAGTAGCTTTAGCCATTGCTAAGACAATGGATACATTTTTTTACCAAATAAAAAAGAGAGGCAAAAGGTAATTTTTGACCCTTTAACATATTCGATTTATCAATTTCATTCTTATTGTACTTTTTTTTATCAATTTAACCCTAAAAATTATTTAATTGCATCATTTTATATCATACCTTTAACTTAAAATCTTAAATTACTAAATCATAATTTGAGTTTGTAGTTTAGGGTTTTAAATTAGAGGTAAGGTATAGAATAATGCAATTAAACAACTTCAAAAACTAAATTGGTACGAAAAAAATAATAGAGACTAAAATGATAAATTTGATCTATTACGTAAGACAAAAGTTAGTTTTTTTGCCAAAAAAATCGTGACTAATATATATATATATACTTCTTCTAAACATATTATGATACCATAATTTAGTTGTTAATCTAAGCTCACTCCAACTTCCTATTTCAAGCACCAAAATCAGTTGGGGGCAGATAATAGGCGTATGAATCAGTTAAGAACTGATTATTAGTAATTTAATAACAATGTTTTACTTTAAATACATTATTAATATCTAATAAAAGTAAAACAAGACCACTTAGAATTTCAACCAATTAGATTCGAATCCGCGAAATTTTCGCGTTTTATTGGGCTAAATTTCGTTTTTTTTTTTTATGGATTCTGCTATAATTTATGAGTTTAATAAAATCCGAAATTAGAGGGCAGTTGATTCAAAAGAGGCGCCGAAAGATTCATTATCGGGGGACCAGCAACCGGGCCAAGACAAATCCTCCCCAGAAAAGAGAATCAGTGAATATTTTTTTTTGTTAATTCCCCCTTAACCAACTTTTGATCACTTTTCACTGCATTTTGATCCGCAGAAAGAATATTTGGCTTCGGTTTCCAGGTAAGATTGCGATTTTTTTTATTTGATTCGTGTTGTCTACGAAACCGGAGAAAAATCTCCGTCGTTTTTCCGTGTTTTCTTTCCTTTCCGAAGCTTATATTCAGATTGAATTATTAAATGCTCGTCGTTTTCAGCGGACGTCATTGCCTTATCTAACATTGATCGATGCAGTAATCTCATGATTAAATAAACATTTGATCGTCGGGCTAAAAAAAATGTTAGCCGTAATTGTTATTTAATTTTTTAGATTCAAAGGTGTCAAGAAATGGATTCCAGTAAGAACATATGTTGAATTTTAGGATAGAAGGATGAATTTATAAAATTTTATAGGATGAAAATAAATTATTAATATAAAAAATATTTTAATTATATAAAAATTTAAAATTTATAGTGGTACCCCTCCATCCCTAGGTGGGGGCTAGCTGCTTTTGCCTTTGAAGGTGACATCTAAGGACTTATTCACCACTAGACATTAGCCCTATCCATGAATAAAATGGACGTATTAATGGAATCCTTTTTTGTTGGACATTAGCCCTATCCATGAATAAAATGGACGTATTAATGAAAAAGCTACTGTAGTTGAATAATTGTTGTATCCCTTAGCTGAAAGGAAGGTTCCTAGATGGATAAATGTGTTCAGTAAATCAGGGAAAACAGGATTTTTCATTTTTGGTCGGTTGGGTTTCACCAAAAAAATATTAATTTGAAACAAGTTACTCGGACTTTGGGTGAGTGTTTTATACGTTTATGCATTCAATATGAGTGTTCAATTATACAATTGGGATTAGCAAAATATGGGGCTAATATGCACCTCCTATTAACATTTTGACAAGGCGAGAATGTCACTAATGAATTCTTGATGCATATAGGTCAGGTGTGTCATTGATTTAAGCTTATTTTTTCTTATCTTGGTTAAGGAACAAGCAAAATGTGGTAGGTTATCTATAATGCAATGAGTGCTCCTAAGTTGTTTTCAATGATCTGCATATATGTTTAAGATTTTACGGTGTTTGAATGCTCCTAAGGTGTGTTCATTAATGTTTTTTCTACGTTGTGTTCTAGATGAAGAATGTTTTCTTCTTCTGTCGCTAGGGGACTCATTAAATTTTCTTCTAATTTCATAGTGGAGAAGCAATAAGGCCCGACGATGACTTCAGAGGATTTCCATGAAGTTCAGAAGCCTGAAGAGATGGAGCAAGTAGAAGTAACTAAAACAGGTTTGTATAAAACAGCTAGTGTTCACAAGATTCGACTTTATCATGCTGTAAAATCTTGTTGATACCTTCTTCTTTTTATAGTTCTTTGCTATGTTGCTTGATTTGCACGTCTCTAATGCATATTGTCTTGGATCCTCTGAGATTAATGGAATCAAAGTATCAATCGGATGGCAAGTTTTAATTTATATTGATGGCTTATAGGCTATTTCATTCCCTTCATTTGAATATATTTTGCTTCTTAATGTAAGCTTAATGCATGCTTGTCTACATAAGTTATCTGCAGTGAAGCAAGCAATGGTTAGTATCCTATTTTATTGTGATATTGTTCAGTGTTTTGATGTATCAGATTGAGAAGTGTGTTTTCCTTGCAGATGTTGAAAAGAAAGTTGAAAGAATCTTGATGCTCATCAAGAGGAAAAGCAAGGGGGAAGAGGAGCCCGAGCTTGCTGTACTCATTGAGGACTTTCACGAACAGTACCGGTCTCTCTATTCACAGTATGAACAACTTAAACGAGAGTCCAGTAAGAAAGTTTTTGATTGGGAAGGACTTGAAAGTCATTCTTCTAATGCCTCTGGCTCGGATTCGGAATATCATCTGTCGACGGATATCAAACCTACTGCCGATGCAGAATTTAACAAAGATGGAAGTTTACTGGGGAGGATGACCGGAAACATCCAAGAAGAACTCGAAAGGGCATTAACAAAAGTTGCTGATCCGAGCCATCAGTTGGTCTCTAAGACTGAAGAGAAGGAAGATTTAGCTTCAGACCATTTGGCTGCTGTAAGTAAAATACAAGAAATAGAAATCGTCAATAGAGACTTGAGAAGAGAAGTGGATGAGAAAGAGAAAAGACTCGCCAGTTCCGAATCGGAGCATAAGGGACGGGTAATCGAGCTAGAGGAGAAGTTGATTGGCTTGAAAAATGAGGTGGAATCTCATCAGCTTGAAAAATTACATTTGGAAGCTCAGCTTGATGGTAAGACAGCTGAATGTAAACTGCATGGAGAGACAATTAAGGCACTGTATAGGCAAATTTCGGAGCTCGGAGATGAAGTTAGTAAATTCATGAAGCAAATTGAGGACAGTGACAACAACTTAACTTCTAAACTTGAGGATTCAATGGCTCAGATCATCAATCTGAAGGTGGAGGTGGACAATTTATATGACCAAACGTACGAGGTAGATGTACTGAAGCAGGAATTGGATTCTGTACGCAATCAGAAAATCGAATCCGAGACTCTGCTAGAGCGGAAATCTAAAGAAACCTCCCAATATTTGATTCAAGTGAAAACCCTGAAAGATGAATTAGCAAGAACAAGTGGTGTTGAGCAAATATTGGTAGAAGAAAAAGAAGGCTTACAGATGCAAGTGCTGGAGTTGGAATCCGAGGTGGACGTTCTTCGCAAGCAGAAAACTAAACTGGAAGACAATGAGAGGAGTAATGTTCGTGAAATCAATCAATTGAGAGATGAAAAGGGTCGCCTAAATGCTAAAGTTCTTGAGCTGGAATCACTATTTCAGCAGAAAGAACTCGAGATTTCGGCTATTCAGGAGGATTACGAAAGTAAACGGCTTGAAGAAACTGCTCAGACCATGACCTTGAATGCAGAGATTGAACTTCTGAAACAGAAGTTGGAATTCATGAAGATGGAGAAAAGCAGTTTGGAGGCGCAGATCGCTGATCAGAAGAGAATCATGAAAGAAAGAGAGGAAAATGCAAACAATACATTGGAGTCGAACTCGAAGCTTGTCAGACGATTATCAGCAGGAAATTTTAATATCAATGTCTTGGAAAGAAAGATGGAGGATTTAGCGGAAGAGTTCCGCAAGAAAACTGAAGATAATATCCGAATTTTGTACCAGAGGATCATGGTTGCTGAAAAGATACATTACGACAACAAAGATACTTCCAAGATCATAAAAGAAAAGCTAGAGCAAGAGAATGAAGCACTTACATGGAAGCTTAAAGCTTCTGAAGCTAAGCTTAGGAAGATGAGGGATTCATTGGAGGCAGGCAAAAAGGAATGGACCGAGTCAAACTCGAAGTTAAAGCAAGAAAATGGAGTACTTGCGAGGAAACTTGCCAGTTGTGAAGCTGAGCTCAAGAAGTTAAGGGATCCAACGGAGTCAATGAAAATTGCAGTGACTGGATTGAATTCGAGGCTGGAGCTAGAAAATGAAGTACTTAAAAATAAGCTTGCCAATTGTGAAGGTGAGCTCAAGAAGTTGAGGGATTCAATGGACGTAGGCAAAGAATCATTTGGTGAATCGAATTCGAGGCTAGAGCAAGAGAATGGAGCACTTAAGGAGAAGCTTGCCTCTTGTGAAGCTGAGCTGAGGAAGACGAGAAGTTCGATCAAGGCAGGAAAAAATGCATTGGCTGAATCGAATGCAAGGCTAGAACTAGAAAACAAAAAGCTTAGAAGGCAGCTTGCTTCTTGTGAAGCTGACCTGAGGATGTTGATGGATTCGACGGAGGCAAGCCAAAATGCATTGACCGAATCCAATTCACGACTTGAGCACACCAATAGAGAACTTAATGAGAAGCTTGCCACTTGTGAAGCTGACCTGAGGATGTTGAGGGATTCGACGGAGGCAAGCCAAAATGCATTGACTGAATCCAATTTACGACTCGAGCATGCAAACAGAGAACTTAATGAGAAACTTGCTACTTGTGAAGTTGAGATATGCAAGCTAAAGGATACAATCGATGCAGAAGCTTTGAATGAATCAAATTCAAGGCTAGTGCAGGTAAATGAAGCACTTGCTGAAAAGCTTGCAAGTTCTGAAGCTGACCTGAGGAAGGTGAGGGAATCAAATAGAGAGCTTAATGAGAAGCTTGCCACTTGTGAAGCTGAGCCATGCATGTTAAAGGATCTGAATGAATCGAATTCAAGGCTAGAGCAGGCAAATGAAGCACTTGGTGAAAAGCTTGCAAGTTCTGAAGTTGAGCTGAGGAAGGTGAGGGAATCAAATAGAGAACTTAACGAGAAGCTTGCCTCTTGTGAAGCTGAGCTATGCAAGTTAAAGGATCTGAACGAGTCAAATTCAAGGCTAGAGCAGACATTTGAAGCACTTGGTGAAAAGCTTGCAAATTCTGAAGCTGAGCTGAGGAAGGTGAGGGAATCAAATAGAGAACTTAACGAGAAGGTTGCCCTTTGTGAATCTGAGCTATGCATGTTAAAGGATCTGAATGAATCGAATTCAAGGCTAGAGCAGGTAAATGAAGCACTTGGCGAAAAGCTTGCAAATTCTAAAGCTGAGCTGAGGAAGGTGAGGGAATCAAATAGAGAACTTAACGAGAAGCTTGCCACTTGTGAAGCTGAGCTATGCAAGTTAAAGGATTCGAGTGAATCGAATTCAAGGCTAGTCCAGGCAAATGAAGCACTTGGTGAAAAGCTTGCAAGTTCTGAAGCTGAGCTGAGGAAGGTGAGGGAATCAACCGAGATATGGAAAAATGCATTGACCGAATCAAACTCAAGACTAAGGCTCCAAATTGGAGAACTTGAAGAAAAGCTTGCCACTAGTGAAGCTGAGCTGAGTAACTTGAGGGATGCATTGAATGAATCGATCTCATCTGTGGACGAAAATTCCGACACCGGCATTTCAAATGTCGAAGACCATCTTGTTTCAATGAATGACATGAATACAATGTTAGCCGAAATCAGTAAGGAAAACGAGTTGTTGAAGGAGAAAGTTTCGAGTTTGGAAGCCAAGTTGAGCGAGGAAGGAGAAGAAAAGATGAAGCTGTTGGAAGCCATTGCGGAGCTTGAGGCTCGAGTGAAAGCATCGGAGAAGATTACCAAAGAAAAAGACGAAGAATTGTTGGGGAGGGAGGAAGAAAAGAGGGTAGCCATCAGAGAGCTCTGTCAGTTGATTGACTATCACCGCGGCCGCTACGATGAACTCAAGGAAATGATCAACAGCTACACTGCCATAACCATGAAAAAAACATGAAACTTGTCACATATATGTCGAAAGTTGAAAACCGCCCAAATCGATTCATGATGTGCTATCTTTTAACATATATCAACAGAATCGAAGAAATATATTCATTGATCTCTTCTAATCAGTTGATCTTATGTTTTAATTTATATATTTTTGTTCTTTTTTTCACAAGTAATGGTACTTGGAATCTGGAAGTTTTGTTACGTTGCCGAAAAAGGAGAAACGTGGGAAGTTTCGTGACTAAAACGTAACAAGAAATATAACTCCACAGTGCAGATGCAGTGTTTAAATTTTGAAGCGTAAATTACACCGTTCTTCACTGAATTTTATTTTCTCTCATATTTTATTCACCTTATTTCCAAAAATTTCTAATTTGCTCACTGAACTTTACAGATTAAATCATTTTGTTCACTCTATCGTTATCTATCTAACATTGCGATAACGTGTATTTTTTTAATTATTATTTAGTATAAAATAATTGAAAATGTAAATGATAAATTATATGTTTGTTAAGCAAAATACGCGGTAGTAAAATGAATAGAACAAATAGAAGATAGAATAAAAGAAGTTCAAGAATTTTTTAACCCAAAATCATGTCAACACTACACTACACTCTTTCTGTTTATTTATATTCTAGTCTTAGTGCTAGAATCTGATAAAATCTGTTAACGCCCTGGGAGTCTTCCTTTCGCGTGAGCTCGTGCGCCTTTCAAGGACGTTAGTGCTGAGCTGGCTTTCTCTCTTTCTGGTCGTATCACTGATTCCCTTTCTCCTTCTTCAACTGTCATTCCATCCCCTTCCATAACATCACTTTCTCCTGGTTTCAGAACCTTGTCCTCAAGGTTTGAGTCACATTCGTCTTTGTCAACATCAGAAGCAGTTCCCAGCAAAGGTAAGGGTGCAATCTGTTGATGCGGTTGACCCTTACAAGGTTTCAGCTGAGAAATGTGAAAAACTGGGTGTATTCGAGTTGTAGCAGGCAGGTCCAATTTATAGGCGACAGCTCCGATGCGTTTCAACACTTGATAAGGTCCAAAAGTGGATAAAATACAAACATAAGTAATCATCTGTGTAGTTAACCTTCATTATGCTTTTTTCAGGTTTTATGCTTGAGATGGGGATTGCCTTGTCTTCATGCCCACTTGCCGAGTAAAAATCCTTGGTGGTCGGATAGAGATGACTAGGCATCGTTTTAGGGAGTCTATAAAGTTCTTTGGGTATCACGTTGATCCAGAAAAGGAGGAGCAGCTTGAAGGGAGTAAAATAGGTAATTTTCTACATATACTGATTTCTTTAGGGTGAAATTTTCTATTTTACTTGTAACTTCGGTTTTTGTAACTCGAACATGGACGTGATACGAGTCTTCAAGGCCTTCCGATTCCAAATACCCATATTACGCTGAGACTTGTCTGAATGTCATTAACTTTGATTCCTAGATGTTCTGAAATGCCAGAAGCAGCTTAACATGGTTTTCAACATACGATTTACTTTGCTGCAGAAATTGAAGAAAAAGTGGCAACGATTTAGAAGCTCATTAAAGAAGAAGAAGAAGATGAAGACAGTGACGGAGTTCTAATAGCCAACTCCAAGAAGGAACCACTTGTTCAGTTAATTGAGGATTTCCACAAACACTACGAGAGCCTCTATGCACTCTATGATCATCTCACAGGGGAGCTGAGGAAAAGAGCTCATGGGAAACGAGATAAAGATGAATCCTCTTCGTCAAGCTCGGATTCAGACTCCGATAGTTCTACGAAAAATGGGGGCAGTAAAAATGGACACTTGGAAAGAGAACTTCAGGCAATAGCAGAAGGCGTTAAAAAAGAACTTGAGAATGCGAATCTGGAAATTGCAGTATGCAGCAACAGCTGAGCTAGACAGTATAAGAGGGGAAGTTTCCAGTATGCAGCAACAGCTGGAATCTTCAGAACAGTGAGTTTCGGAAGTGAGCTAGAGTCTTAATGCCACGTTGGAAAAGAATAAATCACTGAACTCCAAGCTTTCTGACGTTTCAAATGAGATTCAGCTCGCACAGGGCACAATACATCAACTCATGGCTGAAATTAGTCAATCAAAGGTGGAACTGGGTGAAAAAGAAAAGGAATTTGTGACGCTCAAAGAGGTGCACGAGGTGCATGGGAATCAATCATCTGCTAAGATAAAAGACTCACAGGCACAAGTGACAGGCTTGGAACTCGAGTTGGAACAATTGCGAACAACAAACAGAGATATGGAGCTTCAGATAGGGAACAAAACAAGTGATGCAAAACAGCTGGGAGAGGTAAATATGGGACTGCAATCCCAAATTTCACAACTTGAGATGATATTAAAGACAAGATAAGAGGAACTTTTGACTCTCACAAAGAAATTTGAGAATAATGAGAAAGAATCGTTGTCTAGAGTTGAAAATTTGACAGTTCAGATCAACAATCTGGTAGCAGGCATGGAGTTATTACATACCGAGAAAGCTGAGTTGGAAGAACAAATTGCAGTGAAAGGTGATGAAGCATTAACTCAAGAACTTGATGGATCAAATAAATGCCTTGCATCAAGAGCTGGAGTCCCTGCATAGCTAGAAAGCAGAGCTCGAAGTTCAGCTCCAGAGTAAAACTCAAGCTATTTCAGATCATTTGATTGAGATAGAAAAGGTAAAAGAAGAGATAGTAAGCAAGACTGGGGATCAACAAAGAGTTCTTCAGGAGAATGAGGGATTGCTGGCACAAACAAAGGAACTAGAACTTGTGGTCAATTCTCTAAGGAATCAGAAAAGTGAATTGGAAGATGACTTAAGAAGTAAAATCGAAGAGAATGGTCAGTTGTGGGAGGAAAATACAGGACTACAATCCCAGAACTAGAGATGATATCGAAAACGAGGCAAGAACAACTTTTGACACTAACAAAGAAGTTTGAGGATAAAGAGAGAATCATTGTCTAGAGTGGAAAATTTGGTATTGGAGATCAACAATATGGTAGCAGACATGGAGTCATTACGCACCCAGAAAGCTCAGTTGGAAGAACATATTGTAGTGAACTACTGAAAGGTGATGAAGCATCAAGTCAAGAACCTGAAGGATCAGATAAATAATTTGCAGCAGGAGTTGGAGTCCCTGAATAACCAGAAAGCAGATTTGGAAGTGCAGCTTGAGAGAAAAAATCAAGCTATTTCAGATTATGTGATTGAGATAGAAAAGGAAAAAGAAGAGATTGTAAGCAAGATCGAGGATCAACAAAGAGTTCTGCAGGAGAAAGAGGGTTTGCTGGTGCAAATAAAGGAGCTGGAATTTAAGCTAAATTCTCTAAAAAGAACAGATTGAAGAGAATGACCAGTTGAGGGAGGAAAATACGGGACTTCAATCCCAGATTTCACAACTCGAGATGATATTAAAAACGAGAGAATATGAACTTTTGACTCTCACAAAGAACTTCGAGGACAACGAGAAAGAATCATTATCGAGAGTGGAGAATTTGACAATGCAGATTAACAATCTGCTAGTAGACATGGGGCCACTGCATAACCAAAAAGCTCAGTTGGAAGAACATATCGTTGTAAAAGGAGATGAAGAGTCGACTCAAATCAAGAGCTTGATAGATCAGATTAGGACATTGCAGCAGGAGCTGGAGTCCCTGCATAGCCAGAAAGCAGAACTTGAAGTTCAGCTTGAGGGTAAAACCCTGGCTATTCAGATCATGTGATTGAGATAGATAAGGCAAAAAAAAAGAGATAATAAACAAGAGTGAGGATCAAAAAAGGGTTCTTCTGGAGAAAGAGGGCTTGCTGGCACAAACGAAGGAACTCGAATCTGAGGTCAATTCTCTAAAGAATCAGAAAGGTGAATTGGAAAAAGACTTGAGAACTAAAATCGATGAGACCGGTCAGTTGAGGGAGGAAAAGATGGGCTTTGAAGGGCAAATCTTTGACTTAGAGAAAACATTGGTAGAAAGAGGGCTTGAGTTCAATGCCCTTGGGGAAAAGCATGCAAGCTTGGAAAATGAAACTTCCTCCCAATTAACAGCCCTAGTGACGCAGCTCCACAATTTGCAGCAGGAGTTGGATTCGTTACAAGCCAGGAGAAATGAATTGGAGTTGCAGCTTGAGAGAGAGAAACAAGAATCATTAGAAAGATTTAGCACCTTCGAGAATGAAAAAATCTGAACTGAAAAGTCAAATTAGCAATCAACAAAGAATGCTAGAAGAGCAGGGTGAGGCATATAAGAAGTTGGCCGAGGTGTACGAAGAGGTTGATAGTTTATACCAACAGTGCAAGACTAATCTCGAAGTTGCAGAAAGGAAACTGGAAGAAATGTCTGAAGAATTCTGTTCAAACGTCGACTCAACCTGAAGCAAATGGTTGAGGACCTACAACGAGATCTGCAAACAAAGGAAGACGAGAAAAAACGACCTAAATCAGATTACAAATCATCAGAGAATGCTAAAAGAACAAGAAGATGCAATACAAGCAACTCGAAACTTCATTTCAGGAGTGCAAGGCAACTATTGAAATCACAGAAAGGAAGATGCAAGAAATGGCAGGAGAGCACAATACGAACATTCAATCTAAGGATGAAATAGTTGCTGAGTTGGAGCAAACCATTGAAGACTTGAAAAGAGATATAGAAATGAACGGAGATGAGATCAGTAGTTTGGTTGAGAAAGTCCGCAATATCGAAGTTAAGCTCCGGTTGTCAAACCAAAAACTTCTAATCACATAACAGCTACTAACCGAGAACGAGGAGAGCTACAGAAAAGCTGAAACTAAGTACTTGGAAGAACAAATACAACTCGAAGAAAAGAAGCTAAGTACTTGGAAGAACAAAGACAACTCGAAGAAAAGATCTTGACATTGTCTCAAATAATCGCTGCGAATAATGAAGCATATTGCAGGATGATCAATGATATCTCCGAGAATGTAAATAGCACCTTGATTGGATTTGAAGCAGTCATACAGAAATTCAAAGAGGGATGTAGAAACTACACGCATTGCATTGAAGAAACATCGAAAGAGATCACGGTCGCAAAACATTGGATTGAAGAGACGAGGAGCGAAAATAAGCAACTAACGAATGAAGTGACCGACTTGATCGAGCAACTGAAAGATCTGAAGGAACAAGAATCTATGCTGCTAGAGCAAGTGGAGAAGATACGGGTTAAGGCAAACGATGAAGAAGATGAGCAGGAGAAGCCCCAAAGCTTTTCTCAGCATTGAATTGAAGGGGAAAAAACATTCTTAACTAGCAACTAAAAGCCTACTAATGTCTTTCATGAAAAAAAAACATCATTAAAATGTAAAATTCTAACCCAGAAAACATCAATAAAACAATAGGACACCATTGTTAAGAAATAAGAACCCCCCAACAAAAATGCTTCCACTCACAGCTTTCCGCTAGAAGTTTTCATTTTTTTTCTCCAAAAAAAACTATTATCTTTAATTAGCAAGAATCTCCCACAACAATTCAGCATCAAAAGGCGGCATTCTAGCAAGCGAACAATCTTCAAACATCGGCTCCTCTGTATTTACCGTCGGATAATCATTCAAAACGGAGGACGGTGAATTCTCACATCTCCAAAAACCATCTTCCGACACATTCGGCGACGGAAACCTCGCCAAGTCGTTGCTTAATCCGTCGCTGAAAACCAAAGGCGACGACGGAGAACACGACGAGCATGGCTCCGATACTTTCGCTTGTTTTCCAGCTCTCTTCTTCTTAGCTTTCTTCTCTCTTTTCACCTTTTGACAAATGGCTTGAATCTTAGCGTCCACCGTGCTCTTCAGAGCATTCAGCTTAGCACAATCTGCAAATCCCAACTCCGTCACGCCCTTCACGGTGGGGAAATTCAGCCTCGCGAATTCACCTCAGAGCATATACGCGGCGCGGTCGTAAGCATAAGCGGCGGCTTCGGCGGTGTCGTAAGTGCCTAACCAGACACGTACTCTGTTCAACGGCAATCTGATTTCGGCCACCCATTTTCCCCATTGCCTTTGCCTCACCCCTCTGTATAGCTTCTTCTTTTGAGGTACGCTCCAGTAATTGATTGTCAATGGAAGATTTTTGTAGTTTTGAAGAATACACTTTGGAGATTTTCGTGGAATCGAAGGGCTTCCTCTGTTTTGTTGGCAGAATTTTTGTAGGAGATCTCGTTGCCGGAGATAGACTGATGAGCCTAATGGCTCGTTAACGGCGGTTGATGGTGGCGGGCAATGGGAGAAGACGGAATCTAAAGTATTCGAGCCGCCTGATAATATGATCTCCGATAACGAAGACCCGAGATCGACGCCTTTGCTGAATTCAAGTGAATGGTTGATTTCTTGCATTTCTTCCCAGGACTTCAAAAACTGTCCCTTTTTCTTCGAGAAAATACAAAATCAAAATGCAAAATGAAACACAGAGAAACCTTGAAAACAAAAAAGAACCCAAAAAAGATTCCAAGTCGGAAGAAAGGTATGATTCTTTGTTTGAAACAGAAGATCAAAGGAAGTGAATTCTTAACGAATGAAGAAAGTTTGGGTTGATTTTGGTCCAAGCTTTTGCTGCATATATAGCAGAGCACTGGATAAAACAACAGGTTGTCTAGATTTCTTATTAAATTTTAGAGTAAACTATGCATTTAATAATTAAATTACCTTTTAATTATTTTAAAATCACACTTAAAGTTTAATTTTTATTTTATTTTAATACACCGCCGTTAAAAATTCAAATTTTAATGTTAATTTTGAATGAGGTACTAAAATAAAATAAAAATTAAATTTTAGGTATGGTTTTGAAAAACCCAAAAATTTAGATACTAAAACGGATCAAAACTGATAATTTAGATATTAAACTTATAATTTACCCTAAATTCTAAATATTAATATAAAAATATTTATTTAAATATTAATTAAATAATAAATCAATTTCTGGATTAAAACAGTAAAGGGTGTAATGTTTTCCTAACATAACATGAGTTTTCTTAATAATTTTAAATGATTATAAGATAATATTTATAAATATATTTATATTATTAATGTCTTTTCAATAAAATAAAGATAAAATAACTTCACTAAAAATATCTTATAATATATTATTTTAATCAATTTTTTTTGGATTTACCAAAATGACCAACTAAATGGTTAAGATTATTTAGAACAAATATTACTTTGTAGTCACCTTAACTTAATTAGGGATGATAATGGGTCGGGTCAGATTTTTGCCTGCTCCAACCCTGACCCGGCTCTGAAAATAAAATTTAAACCAGCATCCACCCGACTCGACCTGAATATTACTGGAAATTTTATAATAAAAAAAACACCGAAAAAAACGATGAACAGAGGGGGAAAACTCACAAATAACCCCAATGTTGCCAAATCACTTCTAGTTAAGATCATCTTCTTACTTTTGAAGACCAACTGATCAGCAAGATAGCAACTAAACATCTTATTGAATCCCAAAAAAGCATAAATTTTTTATAAGAAAAAAAAATCAAATTTTAACATTAAAACTGAGAAAAAAGAACTAAAGCAAAACTCAGAGGAAAATAAACTAAATAAAAATTGTTTTTTTTCATAAAGAAAACATGTATATTCAAAAGAAATTTAGATAGAAAATTCTCAACAACAAAAAAAAAAAACAAAAACAAAAGGAATACTTGGAGAGTTTCTGGCAAAATCCACGTTGTAGGGATGATTTCAAAACATGAACAAAGCTAAAATTATTTAGCAGTCAAGTATTTTAGGAGAGAATTTGAGAAAAGCAAATGAAGAAAATATCTCAAATTGGGAAAAAAAATTGCGGCAGTAGATAAAGGGGAAATGGAGTGGAAGGAGCCCTAAACATTTATATATAATGGCATTTTTGTAAATAAATTAAACTATATAATATAATAAAAATATTTGGGTCAGGTCGGGTCGGACATTTTCTATCCCAAACCCGACTCTGACCTGAACCCGAAAATATTGCACACTAAACCCGACCTAACCTAAACCCGAAATTAAAAAAAACACTCCTATCGGGTTGGATCGGATCGAAATCCATCGATTTCGGATTAAATTGTCATCTAGGCCCGTAAACGAACCAAACGAACACGAACATAAATGAACAAAAAAGTTATTGTTCGTGTTCATTAATTTAAATTATAAACGAATAGAAATGAACGAACACAAACGAACGTAAACAAACACAATAAATGAACATAATCGAACGTAAACAAACAAAACAAACATATAAAATTAATTTAATTTTAAAATATTAATGGGTATCAGATTAAATTTTATTGGGCCTTAATATTTTAAATGAGCCCATAGAGATTAGGTTAAACATAAACAACCGAATATAAACGAACGAAAGTAAATGAACATAAACGAACGAACGTAAATGAACCTAAATGAATGAACACAAACTAACATATTATTGAACGTTCACGAATGTAAATGGACGAATGAACCCTCTGTTCGTATTCGTTCATTTAATTAAACGAACAAAAAAACCTTGTTCATGTTCATTCGTTTAATAAATAAACGAACTTCCAACTGAATGATTTATGAACAATTCGTTGAACGTTCGATTCGTTTACATTGTCTATTTTCATCCCTAAATTTAACAAAAAATATAAATTATATGTTGATTAAATAGAATTAAACATTAAATCTCTTAACTATTATTAAAATTTCAAAACAATAAGATTAAAAGTATTATTATATAATCTCATAATGAGATTTTACAGTAGTTAATCTTGTTAGGAAATATAACGAGAACAAGTAATTTCCATATAGCCAGATTAGTGAGAATACGAAATAAAAGCGGAAAAATAATACCCGAAAAATTGATAACGGAGTTCAGCCAATTGTGCTTACGTCTCCGGACTGCTGCAGATCTTTTACTGAAGAGAAAAATTACAAGTGTTTACAAAACACACTTGAGAGAGAACTGGAAGATTTTGGGATGATTTTGAAGCTAAATGAGCTAGGGTATTTATAGTTGAAACTTAGGGACTAATCTTTGAAAATACCCTAAAGTACAATGACTAAATGTGTGATTTACCCTTGCCCAAATTCAACAAAACACAACAGCCCCTACTTTTGAATTCAACCGGCTGCCATCTAGAATGGCAGCCATCTAGAATTTCAACAATCTCCCACTTGAAG